TCAGAAACAACTTAACGAAATATATACTGTCTGTTTCATTGTATTCATAATTCTAGGCAACTGTAATCCTATTTCTTTCTTAGCTAAATCATATTAAAAGACTATATTCAGTGCATAAGACAATTCAACCTTGAGATTGTCTCATTTTAAGAGTTTTAGTTCTTCTTTATAGTCTCATCCTGTGTGTGTATAACCCTGTATAAATAGAATAAACAATAAACAAACCAGACCTTCTTATCATTAATAAAAGTAGAGCCAAAATTAAAATTTGAAAAAAGAAATGATTTATCGTTATTTTTAGTGAGACGGAAACGGGAACGTGAAGAAAGAAAGAAGGAATGGGAAGCCAGCCATCTAGGAGAAAATTATAACCATCAACACGATCAAGGAAGGTTTCATCAAGAAGATCAGGAAACGGAGAGAGAGAATGATGAACGTAATTATCAGCGGGACCATGAACAACCACATCACAGAGAAGGATCAGAAAACAGTGAAGGATCTCAGGATCATCAGCAGGAACATCATCATTCAACTCAAGGTGATTCTCATGATCAGCACGGAGAAGGAGAACATCATCATCATGACAAAGACGAACATGATCAACATCAGAGGGGGATCTTTGATAGTTTCACCCATTTCAATTTAGCCTGGAAAGCTCCTAAGTTTGAGAAGTTTGGACCAATGGGAGGGAAAGGTGGCGGGGGAGGTGAAAAAGGAGGAAGGGAAGGTGGAGAAAAGGAAAATGATGATGCTACAGAAAAAGTAGACCTTCCTTCTCCAGATATTCAAGAAGATTTCGGAAGTGAAGAAAATTCTGATTCTGAATCTGGATCTGGGAATAATTCCGGAGGTTCATATTCTGAGGATGGCTCAAAATCCGGCTCAGGGGGTTCATATTCTGAGGCAGGATCCTCTTATTCTGAGGATGGCTCCTCTTATTCCGGTTCTGGATCCTCTAATTCCGGTTCTAGAGAAAATGAAAATGATGATGCTACAGAACAAGTAGACCTTCCATCTCCAGATAATCAAGAAGATTTCGAAAGTGAAGAAAATTCTGACTCTGGTTCTGGCTCTGGGAATAATTCCGGTGCTACAGAACAAGTAGACCTTCCTTCTCCGGATGATCAAGAAGATTTCAGAAGTGAAGAAAATTCTTACTCAGGTTCTGGATCTGGGAATAATTCCGGAGGTTCATATTCTGAGGATGGCTCAAAATCCGGCTCCGGGGGTTCATATTCTGGGCCAGGATCCTCTTATTCCGGTTCTGGCTCCTCTTATTCCGGTTCTGGCTCCTCTTATTCCGGTTCTGGCTCCTCTTATTCCGGTTCTGGCGCCTCTTATTCCGGTTCTGGATCATATAATTCCGGTTCTGGATCATCTAATTCCGGTTCTGGGTCATCTTATTCCGGTTCTGGATCATCTTATTCCGGTTCTGGATCATCTTATTCCGGTTCTGGATCATCTTATTCCGGTTCTGGATCATCTTATTCCGGTTCTGGATCCTCTTATTCCGATTCTACCAACGGTTCATCAGACGGATCATCCTATGGTTCATCGGATGGGTCTGGATCGTTTGGTTCTGGATCGTTTGGTTCAGGTTCTTTTGGTTCAGGTTCTTTTGGTTCTGGATCTTTTGGTTCGGGTTCCTTTGGTTCTGAATAGATTAAATTAAATGTTAAAATTCATTTGTATGTTTAAATTTTATTTTTAATGTATTTTATTTCTATGAATTTTATTTTTCTCATTATCTTGAAGTAACATTATTTACACATCAATTAAAAATTGCTGCTGAGGGGTGAATACTTGTTTGAACTACTCCCGTTTAAACTATTGTTCATTTGAACTACTGACATGACGTATATCCTGTAGTTAAAATCAACACATTACTTGTTCATTTAAACTAATATATTTCAAATCAACATAAAATAGTTCAAATGAACAAAAAAATTGTTAAAATAAATATTATTTCAGGGTTAGGTTAGGTTAGGACAATTTCTAGACCGAGCGCTGCGGCTATGACAGGCTAGGTAGGGTGGCCCTGAAAAAATTCCCAGTTGTGCGACACATGTATTAGGAAGCAATAGGATAAAACTAGCTCAAATACGAAATTTTAGTATTTGACATTTTTTTTCGATTTTTTTTGTTTTGATGATCAAATATTTAGAAAAATCGCTTGTTTTTTACATCCTTTGTCAGCTCCATCTGGGAGTGCAGTTATAACATAATTTTGTTTTGTTTTCAAACTGAACACTATTAAAAAATATTTTGACGTTTCAGAAATGGCCTAAAAAATGTTTTATTGGCAAGTTTAGAGGGAAATATGCATAAGGTATTGGCCAAAAAATCCATTTAAAAAACCGTTTCTGGTGCAATTTTCTTCTCAACTCCTCTGGCTTTGCCAAATAATGCAACTAAAAAAATTGTTTTCATAAAAAGATGCCCATTGATGTTAAGATTGCATAATAAAAAACAAATGTTAAATAATTTTTAAGACGCTGAGCTTTGGACATTTTAGTTAACAAGTTTAGCAACGCGTAAAATCCCGATTTTTGAGTGACTGCCCATTGAAGTTATAAAGAATTAAATAACTCACCGAAAGGTTTATAAAATGGCGAGAAAAACAGTAAAATAGCTTGGCAGTTAGGAAAATTATTTTTAAATACTGAAATTAAAAAATGAGTCGCACACTTGAATCGAGCGCTGCGGGAAGTCGACAGACCTTCAATTCAATTTCAACAATTTTCAACAAAATTAGTATATATTTATAGGTTTGGTTATGTCACTGGGCCGAGCGCTGTGGCTGTAGACAAATCTATTTTTTTGTTCATTTGAACTATCTTTGTTCATTTGAAGTATTTATTCGTTTATTTGAAATATTTTGGTTTATTTCAACTATTTTTTTGTCCATTTGATCACTATATTTATAATAATTTCAACTATTTTTTTGTCCATTTGAGCAATTTCTTTGGTTTATTTCAACTATTTTTTGGTTCATTTGAACTATTTTTAAAAGTTATTTTCGAACTATAATGCATATATATAATGGTTCAAATGAACAAAAAAATAGCATGAAATGATCCCGTTTTAACTTTGAACTATTCACGTGGTACCACGTGCAGTAGTTCAACCGAACAATAGTTTAAATGAACTTGTCCAAACGAGAGTAGTTCAAGCAGGATAGTTTTCCCCGTTTTATTTTCTACTTATGTCGTCTTCAATTTTCCTGTTATTGTGCTCACTGCCACATGGCGGGTTTTGTTGAGAACAAATTCAAGTTGCATCAGATTCCTATAAATATCAAAATTACAATTAAGTTCTTTGTCGGTTTCGGACATGTAGTTTCAAAGTTTAATAATTCGTTAAAGCTCTTAGTTTAATATGCATTTATTTTCAGATATTTTATCTAAAATGGATTTAAAGCTTTTCCTGTTTTACACAATGTTCTTTCTGTCATCTGACGGGGCTGAGAGCAGGAATGTTCTTGTTATTTTAGATAATTCTGCTATACTGGAAACCCACTCCTTGTTCATTAAACAACTGACCGATCTGGGGTTTAATACTGATATTAAGATAGCCGAAGATTCAACAATGAGTTTAAAGAAGTACGGAGAATATTTATACCAGGATATAGTTTTACTAGCTCCACGAGCGGAAGAGCTCGGAGGAGGTCTGACCGCCGATTCTATTATTGAGTTCATCGATGATGGTGGTAATGTTTTTATCGTCGCTGACTCTGAAACTGGAAATGTTATAAGGGATATAACGGCGGAATGTGGAATAGAACTCGATGAGGATGGTACAACTGTTATAGATCATCTTCACTTTTCTGCTCAGGATCAAGGTTTTCACAATCTACTTCTTGCAAACTCGGCAAATCTGATTAAGTCAGAGAAAATAGTTGGCAAATCATCTAACCCCTTACTCTACAGAGGTCTTGGCATGGTTACTGATCCTGCAAATCCTTTGGTTTTCACCATTCTATCTGGATCCTCCTCGTCCTACTCACACAATCCGACAGAATTGATCAAGGACTATCCTCATGCTGTAGGAAAGAACACGGTTCTAATTGGTGGATTACAGGCTCGTAATAATGCCAGAATTGTTGTGAGCGGATCTATGGAGTTTCTCTCTGATGTATTTTTTACCAGCGAGGAGGGTGGTAAACTTGTAGGAAACCAGGAACTAACTGTTTCTCTTCTCTCATGGTGTTTCCATCAAACCGGAGTTATTAGGATAGACTCCGTATCTCACAAACTAGCCGGAGAAGCTGCTACCCCATCCTTCTACACAATTCGTGAAAATTGCGAATTTTCGATCAAAATGTCCGAGTATGTGAACGGTGCTTGGGTTCCCTACAAGGCCGACGACGTCCAGATGGAGTTTGTCAGGATTGACCCTTTCGTCCGCCAGAGAATGATCAACAAGAACGGACTGCTGACTGCAAAGTTTAAGATCCCCGACGTGTACGGTGTTTTCAAGTTCAAGGTTGATTACTCAAGGCTGGGTCTAACTAGTGTTAATACAGTGACCCAGGTATCCGTCCACCCACTCCAACACAATCAATACGAGAGGTTTATACCATCAGCCTATCCATACTACGCTAGTGCGTTCTCAATGATGGCTGGAGTATTCGTGTTTTCCTTCGCATTCCTCCACATGAAGGAAGAAACAAAGTCTAAGAACGAATAAACTTGAAGAACAAAGATCTCAAACCCGTATTCGCGTGTTCATTATGCAAGCTTTGTCTTAAAAATAGTAACTAACAATTGCAACAACAAAAATATTTTTTATGTAATGAATTAAAGGTTTACCTCCCTGTTTTATTTCCTTTTAATGCTTTTAATGTCTGTGATAATTAAACCTATTTTCTGTGTGCTCAAAAACTAAGACCATTTAGGAAAATTATTTACTCTTTTGGCACTTTTTGAATTTTTCCGCTCTTTGAGGTTGAAGTGGATTATGTTTTTCACATGTGTTTAGTGTTTATCTAGATGTTGTATTTCAGAAGGAATAAAGAGTAGAATATGGGTGATACTGAGACTAAGATGGAGGGAGAAACTATCTCCAAGAGTGAACTTAAGAGAAGATTAAAAGCTGAAAAGAAAGCTGCAGAGAAGGTAACCACATTATTTTGGGATCTGGATCTAACTCGTAATATGGACTAGGGAAGGAAGTTGAAATTATTAAACGTTTCCCAGATCCAAGAAATGTTTTTTAAAAATATCTTGTCTTGTGATCTGTTGGTTTGTACATTTTAGTTTGATTTTAGATTTCATTACTTTCCTCATATAGGGAATTTAAAATCATTTTTAAAACTTAAATCTACCATTTTGGTTTGCTTTCACAATTTGATTTGGGATTTGAGATTTGATTTGAAGAATAACTTGAACCTGCGAAGGAATATAATAAACCTAGTCTAGTATATATATTCAGGTTAAGAAGGAGTAGAATAAACCTGAACCTGCCAAGGAATATAATAAACCTGGTGTATATATATATTCAGGTTAAGAAGGAGTAGAATAAACCTGAACCTGACAAGGAATATATATTTATTCAGGTTAAGAAGGAGTAGATTAAACCTGAACCTGACTAGGAATATAATAAACCTAGTATATATATATATATATATTCAGGTTAAGAAGGAGTAGAATAAACCTGAACCTGACAAGGGATATATATTTGTTCAGGTTAAGAAGGAGTAGATTAAACCTGAACCTGACAAGGAATATAATAAACCTAGTATATATATATATTCAGTGGCCGAATTTAAAGAATTTTAGCGGCGGTTTAAATTTAAGCCGCGGCTTAAATATGGTTGGTTCCACTTAAAATTGTATACAATTTTTCAAGATTTAAGCCGGCGCTTAATTAAAACCGGGTTTTGACAGATTTAAACCGCGGGTCAAATTCTTTAAATTTCATCTCAGGTTGAGAAGGAGTAGAATAAACCTGAACCTGCCAAGGAATATAATAAATTTAGTATATATATTATTCAGGTTGAGAAGGAGAAGAATAAACCTGAACCTGCCAAGGGTTCTGCTAAACCAAAGGTTGCCGAGGAAGAAATTAGTCCAAACGAATATTTCAAACTCAGGTTAGAGGTTTTTATAAAAGATAATGAAAATTTGAAGAAAAAAATCTTTTTATGATTGTATGATTAATAATTATTCAATTATTCTTATTTCTTATCGTATCGCAAGTAAACTTGATGATAAATGTTTTGCTCTAGGTCTGGTGCAATAGAAGAACTGAAGAGCTCAGGTCCTCATCCTTATCCTCACAAGTTTCATGTTTCTATTTCTCTTACAAACTTTATCAGTCAATATGAATCTTTGAAGGTAATGCAATGTCGTAATAAAGACAATTTATTTGTTTCTTTGAAAGGAAACTATATATTACTAAAACATGTTAATACAGGGTGTGCATATTCTTACTTCAAACATCAAAATTTGCTCAAACTGGTTGAGAAAAATATGGAAGGAGGAAAGATGAAGAGAGTAAAAAATATTTTATTCTTGACAAATGAAAGAAAGTTTAGTTATGTTACAATTTTCGCCCCCAAAACTAGCCTTGAAAAATCAAAAAAGAACAAAATTAATTTTCGTTTCTTAAACATAAAAAAGGATTCAAAAATGTCGTGAATATAACAAAAAACGAAGAAAAAAAAGTTTGACCAGATGAATTCTCCTTCAAACGTTCCCGATAAGATCATAAAAATATTTGTAAAATTCAACTAACGTTCTAAATAGCAAGTGGGAGGGAGTAAGCTATATGTAAGAATATGCACCGTAGTTCAAACATTTGGTTTCTGATAAATCTTCATTTCTTAGATTGTTTTAAAGAAAGAACTTAAACCCTCATAAATATACCGATGATTTTTCAAGGGGTTTGGTATTCTAAGGTTTAAAGTTTTCAGAATCCCTCCCCCCCTTAGTCCACTTAATTTTTTGGAATTTACTTTTTTCATCTTTAATCTTAATTTTTCTATTTTCAAGTTTTTCCCCAGATGAAAATCATTATTGAACTTGAATTTTCTAGGACGGAGAAACATTAACAGATGTTGAAGTGAGGTTGGCGGGACGAGTTCATGCTATCAGAGAATCTGGAGCTAAACTTATATTCTACGATGTTAGAGGTGAAGATGTCAAAATACAGGTATCTAATAGCTTTACAAATGAACAGAAATTGAGTGCTTTTTCAAAGTAAGTGACTGAGATAAATAGTGCCAAAAAAACGACAACTTTTCTTAAACTATTCAATAAGTTAAGTTTCTATTTTCAAATTACGTTTTTTAGAAGATAAATGTAAATACTTTTTACTATGAATATGTTAAAGGTTATGGCGACTGCTAACGCGTATAAATCTGAAGCTGATTTTGCCACTGATACCGGTAAGCTGAGGCGAGGAGATATTATTGGTATAGTTGGGAACCCCGGTAGAACTAAGAAGGGAGAACTCTCCGTGATACCGAAACAGATAGAGTTGCTTGCTCCCTGTCTTCACATGCTTCCTCATCTACACTACGGGATCAAGGATAAGGAGACCAGGTACAGGCAGCGATACCTTGACCTTATCATCAACTCCGAGGTGAAGAGGAAGTTCCAGGTCCGAGCTCAGATTATCTCCTACATGAGACGGTTCTTCGACGAGATGGGTTTCCTTGAGATAGAAACTCCGATGATGAACATGATCCCCGGAGGAGCGACCGCTAAACCCTTCAGGACTCACCACAACGACCTAAACATGGATCTATATATGCGGGTAGCTCCTGAGTTATATCACAAGATGCTTGTGGTTGGAGGGATAGATCGGGTTTACGAGATCGGAAAGCAGTTTAGAAACGAAGGTATCGATATGACGCACAACCCTGAGTTCACTACCTGCGAGTTCTACATGGCCTATGCTGACTACAACGACTTGATAGAGATCACCGAGAAGCTTATGTCCGGGATGGTGAAGGCAATCTTTGGAACTTATTTGGTTGAATTCCATCCTGATGGTCCCGAGGGGGAAGCTAAAATGATTGATTTCACTCCTCCCTTCAAACGTCTCAGGGAACTAAACCTTCAATTAAAAACAATTCGAAATAGAAAAAAACCGCTCCGATATAAAGGAACCCGTGAAATGTAAGATTTTAAGAAGGAAATGGATTTTTTTAACAAATAAGATTAAAAGGAAAAATTTCATAAAGGTATTAATCGATTGACGGGGAGAACAAGATTAATGGATTGTTTTACTTATGTATAAAACTATTTTCCGCCTTTACATAATTCAATCTTTTAATTTTGTACTACATGCTAGGCAAAAATGTAGTGAACTGGCAAACCCTTTATCTGTAAAATATGAATCTTTAATTAGCTAGATCCAGATCCGGTTTTGGTTCCGCATCTTTTTCATGGTGGATCCAGGATCAGGATCCGCATCAAAATGAAACGGATCACGCTTAGGATCCGGATCTAAGGGAAAATTATCAACCAAAAACTGCAACAAAAAATCTTTTGCTCACTCAAATCTGAACTGCTAATAAGAGAGATTTTCAAGAATGTCCTTAACTATAAATGATTTATCAAGCTGTTGCATGAAAATAAGCGAAGAAAGAAAGAAGAATAATTCAAAAATTCTTCTTCTGTTAAAAAAAAAAATCAGTAGATCTTAAATAGATGTTCATGACCTTGATCCGATTCAGGATCCAGATCTGGATTTGGATCCGGATCCATTTTTTCCAGCTCGAATCCAGGATCCGGATCCACATCAAACGTAATTGGATCCTAAGCACTGTTTTTGGGATTGATTACATAAAGGTTTTGTTGGTACTAGAATGTTCCCCGACCTGGAGCGTATTCTTGAGTGTAAACTCCCCTCTCCGGAGAACCTTCATACCGAGGAGGCTAGACTAGCCCTAGACAAGTTAGTTTTTATTTATCTCTCAGTTTTCAATTCTGAATTTCTCCCCCGTCTTAAGCACAAATATTTTTGTTCTTGTATGTTTGCTAACACATTTTTGTTTTGTGTGTATAAGGACGTTTGTGCATTTACTTCATAACGTGACCTATAGTTTCAGCGCGGTGCGGTGAGATTAATCTACTGTAAAAAGATTGTTTAATGTACCAAATAATAACTTTTTATATAGATCTTACTTATATCTTGTTCAGGATCTGTGTCTCTAAAGGTGTTGAATGTCCTCCTCCAAGAACTGCGGCTAGACTTCTGGATAAACTTGTCGGAGACTTCCTAGAGGAGACCTGCATCAACCCAACCTTCATCACAGAGCACCCTCAGGTACCAACACTCTACACTCACAGGTCTTTAGTTCAGGTCCCATTATAGTGCTTAGGATCCGGATCCGCAAAAATATGCGGATTCACGGATCCGGACCCAACAAAACTGTATTAAACAACATCTTGCTCTCAAACTTAGAATTTGAACTGTTAAAAAGCGAGATTTTAAAATGTTCTCTGAATGGTTCAGTATTAATATAAAAATAAGCGGGGAGAAAAAGAAGAAAAATAATTTTTAAATTCTTGAAATGTTCATGACCTAGATCCATTTTTTCAGCCTAATCAAATGAAAGGGAATCTAAGCACTGGGTCCCACTCACAGGGTTATCCGAGTGTTTCCAAAAAGATATCATAGCAAAATATTACATCGTATCACTTTGTCCGCGGTAACAAATTATCTCTATTCCCAAGTTTTAAATGTTTCGATTCATAAAAATTTAAAACCTTATTCTTCATCATTCAATTATCTTGCCAAGCTTCCAAAGTAGTGAATGAAATCATGAATTTAATGTTAAGAACCGAGCAGGGTCATACCTTGAGGGTGGAGTGGGACTCAGGCGGTCGATTCTATGGTGTTTCTTTCGACCTACGCACATCCGCTATACTACACTTCTAACCTACGTACATACTCTATGCAACACTGACCTACTCGCACTCGGTTTGTCAGCTGCCAGATGACATATTTCCGCAGCTCCCGACCCCCTAGCCTGTCCTAGTCACGGCGTTCGGCGCAGAAATTAACTTAACCTAAACTAACCCTAAAATAATAGAAAATATACAGCAGTAGTAGGTCGGAAAGATAGCAAGTTAGAAGTTCGGTAGGGGGGATGTTGCGTATAGACGATGTAACACTACCCTCAATTTTCACAGATTTTATTGTCGCAAATATAGGACAGAAAGGAAATTTTCATGTGCCATAGATATGATAAAAATGTAAACAAAATGGCCGACCAGTTTCATAAACAAATTATGAATTACCAGAAATATCATAAAATATAAGCTAAATTAGCCAGAAATATAAGAATTTATATTTAGGTTATGTCTCCACTGGCCAAGTGGCACAGAGCCGAGAAGGGTTTAACTGAAAGGTATGAACTATATTTTATACCCCTAGGGAAAACATTATATTCCTTCTATATCCCGACTCAATTACTTTTATCAAACTCCATTAAATTCACGGCTGACGAGTGACGAATTTATTGTCCCGAATTGAAACCCAGGGGTGTATATTTCCAAAAAAAATCATCCCCCACTTTTTAGAAAACCATTTCCCCCTCCTAAAGTTACGTATGTTTTTCATGGTTTTTAGGCTGAATTGAGGTAGTTTAACCCTATCCCTGCTGGGGTACTTGAAAACCAGGATATGCGGGGGGGAGTTCAAGATTGGAAAATAAACCGGGTTTTCTTCAACAATAAACCAGCCCAGTGGGTTTTATAAAGCTTTTTTGGGTTTTCCATTTTAAAGTTGTTAAAACCTACTAAAGTTCATACTAATTCATAATAATAAGAATTTTAAGCAATAGGTGAACTTTATAGTTGTGAAAAAAAATGTTGTTGGCTGTTTTCATATATAAATACTTGCCAAATACAATAATATCTCACCTTCTTTATAGGGGAATTTTTTGTATTAAAGTTCTATGCAGGGGCGTAGTGGAGGATTTTATTTGTGCACCCCCTAACGGTTGATGTGCACCTTCATAAAAAAAACCCGCATTAAGAAAAAAAAATAAAGTTTAAAATCCATATTAATCTAAAAAATACAATCACCATCCATGTTTGATTAAAAAACTTCAATTTGAAACTTTGAACCGAAAGCAAATCCCTATAGTTATAATGCATGCACACTGCACAGTCAGACTTGCGAGAGACTACTCCATGCATGTATATCTAGTGATGTTGGTTCGTTTTTGAGGATTTTTGGACTTTTAAAGGTTCCACAAAAATGTATGAGAGACTGAAGTTTTCAATAATAATTGGAGACTACTGGAGACTACTGGAGGGTTCTGAATTCAGTGGAGAGAAAATTATTTCTACTGGAGAGCTTTTAAATTTTTACCGAAATATAAATTCTACCGGAGGGTTTTTTACTCCACTGGAGTACAAACTATTCATATCGGGGAGCCTTGGAATTTGAACCTAAATTGATAATTCCACCGGATCGAGGGTTTTTTAATTCATTGGAGGGATTAGATTGTGTAGAAAAACAGGTTTGAATTTTTCCCCAAAGTGATTCATATCTTACAAAAGCATTTTAGATGTATTTCTATACATTACTTGTCTGTCTTGGATTTTAGTTGTAAACAGGAAAATCTAAAAAAAAAATTATCTACATTTTGCAGGTTTGCAGATATATCAGTAACTAAAAGCTGAAATTATTACCCAGTAGTGTTTATAATAGCAATAGTTGAAAACCCGGTAAAATATAAATCACTATGGGGGATAATTCAAACCTTTTTAGTACTTACAGAACATTCCTCCAGTGAATTAAAAAACCCTCCAATAGAATTTTTGTCTTTGTAAAAACTCAAATCCTCCCCATTTTGAAATGCAATTTACTCCAGTGAAATAGAAAACCCTCCGGTAGAAAAATTTAAAAGCTCTCCAGTAGAAATAATTTTCTCTCTACTGGATTTAAAACCCTCCGGTACTCTCCAGTAGTATCCAATTATTAATGAAAACTTCAGTCTCTCCAATTGTATGACGTTTTACAAATTTCACAATTGTTAGTTCAAAACATTTTTTTTTTTACACTTTGTCAAATGTTGAGAGAAAATATGTGCTAACAAACAAACCAAAAACCAACCTAAACGAACGTCTTTTTTTTTGTTTCACGTAGGATATTAATATTGCAAAGTTTATTAAAGAATACGGAACTTTGAAATGTTTGAAGTTTTATTAAAAGTTTTAAAAACCGAACCAAAAGGATTAACAACCCTACATATGTCTCTAATGGTTAGGTTTGAGCAGCAGGCTAAGGATAAGGCTAGTGGGGATGATGAAGCAATGTTCCTTGATGAAAACTTCTGTACTGCACTAGAGTATGGGCTTCCACCAACCGGAGGATGGGGAATGGGGATAGACAGGTCAAATTTTAACCTAGGGGTCGAATAAACTATTTACAGAAAGCTACGATATATTTATGTATGTCATTGTTCTGTATGTCCTCCATGTGCGTCCCTTTATTAAGTGTCCAAACAACATTTCGTACTAAATAGTTCTTCCTAATTATTTTTATATCCGCACAATTGAAAGAGAATATTGATAATTGTTGCAAGATAATATTTTTAGTCCTTCATAAATAGAGGGTGTTTATCGTTGATTCAACTTTAGTTCTTGAATGCTCTGTCAGTAATTATAAATCTATTTCTGTCTGACCCAACTTTTGAGAGAATAAAATCCTTGCAATTGGTTCAATAATGTCAAATATTGCATTGTCTGTCTGAAGTTTACAAATTAATTTAAATCCTAGGGAAGAATTTAATTTTTGATTTAAAACCTTCCGAATAATGCCGGAACTCAATTGAGTATTAAAATTTAAATATTTATTTATGATCAGAATGTCCATGTTCCTGACCGACAGCAACAACATCAAGGAGGTTCTCTTCTTCCCTGCCATGAAACCCGAGGATAATAAACCCAAGGAGGACGAGAAACCAAAGGAGAACGGAGAAGCAAAGAGCTGAACCTGACTCGTTCAACATTAGATTTAAATATATTGTTGAATTAATCTCGTTTTTAAATTTTTTAAATTGTTTTTTATGTAAAAATGTTTGTTTGAGAGTTTACAGAGTCGGAGAGCTTTCTCATTACTTAAGAAATCTTCAGAGGTTGTACAGAGAATTTATTGCGATTAGAATCTGCAGCATTTATTCAATAATAAAGGTTTAAAAACCACCTACATCGACGGGATTTCTCGTGTCGGTGGGAAAAACATTGAGAAATTAGAATAGTAAAAATTGGGAAAGCTGCGTTATTTCAAATTCATCCTGGGGGCTTTCTCTTCGGTTTAAAATTTGAAATTTTTTAACCTGTATTTTATATTTAATTTTTTGATCTAAAAATTCTTAGTTTGACATATTTAAGGTCTACGGTAGAGGGATTAGACTCAATTTTTTTGTCTTGCAATATAAATTATATAAGGTGCTACTTGACTTTTCTTCAGTTTCTATTATTTGTAAATTTAAGAATTGAAGAAACCAATCTTCCAATATTTCTGGAAATAGTTTTTTTTTTTCAATTTTATCTCAATATGAAGAAAATAGCCTATCCCCTTCTTCTTACAATCTTTATCTAAAAAAAAATATTTTTATTAATACTTTTTTTTCAACTTTATTTAAGATAGATTTTACTGTTTGCTATTTGATGAATTTTTTTTCTGGCATTTTTATTAAAATCCTAATTTTATTCAAAAGAGAACAAACTTGTTTTTCTTCCTCATTCTTCTCAGTGATGAAAAAACTGCATCTCCATAAAATAAAAAAATGGAAAAATATTTTGTACTTAACCATCCGGGTAACAAAGATTTGTCACATAAAAAAAGGTTGTTGACTTTCGTGCTAAACACCTAAAATGACGTCACTGATTATAGAGGTGACAGTGACGTCATATTAGATTTTATCTATCTATCTTAGGAGACGACATTTTCCGTACACGGGAGCGCATCGAGAGTAACCAACCTTATTCCACAACCTTGGTCCCAAATCAAACTAGCTAAGCTGAGAGTGCACTCTTTTTACTTCTAATAATTGAATAGGATCCACGAACATAGTTGTATTTGTCCCTCTGAGCTTAGTTCTTCCAGGGGTCTTGATTTACTCCATTGTTTCCGTATATATCATATAGATAAACGATATCTAACTAAAAACTGAATCAAGATTAGTTTCTTGAGTGTAAACAAAATTTTCTAGATTTTTATATCCGAGAATATACAGAGGAAATATTGGTGAACAGGAGGAAATTCTACAAACTTATTATTAGAGATGCTTCTGTTAAGTATTGAAGTTTACCTAAACAGGATTATCAACTTAGAACATTCTTGGTTCCTCTCAACCATATGAAAGGTGTTGGGACATTGCATTTATGATAAAAACGGACATTTCATAGAACAAATTAAAGATCGGACAGGTCACAAATAGAGAAGTTTATTTCAGTGAAATAGAAGAGTTTTCATATCTCACGTCAAACTATAGTAAATTGAACGTAAGATTGAAATCTTTTATGTTTTCATGCATAACTTCTTTTATTGAAGAGCTATTGAGAAGGAATAAAACAGTTTTGATAAGTATGCAACTAAATATACAAAACTATAGGAGCTACAAAGTCACAAAGTTGCACCAGATATGTCGCGTGAATTTGACCTTCTGTCTAGGTCACTGTAAGATAAATAGATAAAGTTATTTATACGTGAAAATTTATCTTTATTGGATATTTTAGAAAAATTTTGATGAATAGGTAATTTTAATAACAGATACGAACTTTCAGACAGAAAATGTTTAGAGTTCAAGAGTTCAATAAAATATATGTTAAACTTGCAGTAAATCTGACAAGTTTACAAATTCTTAAATTTCTTATATTTTCGTAGACCTAACAGTAATGTTTTGTACAACTCTTAAAATTAATCTAGGAATCATTTTTTAAATGAACTAAAAAGTAAATAGTTATTAGTTCTTGTATAAACAAATCGATGGATTAAATAGAAGATTATTAATTCAAATATATAGTCTAACAATCCCAAATCTCAGCTCTCTCTTAATCTAATTACAGACGAGAACACACAAATTTATTGAACACATACTGAAAAAAAGCTATTATCCAATCAACATATATGTTAGCAGGTTCATTTTTAAGCAGATAGACTACATATCTATAAATACCATGATAATTTCATAGTAAATAATAATGTACATTCTGGACACTCCTATTTATGCTATAAATTATCATGTTGGGTTTGTACTACACATCAGTTTTAAAACAGGGTGATCACAATATTTTTGACATTTATTTGAGGACACCCTGTTCATGAAAGTTCTAAAAATGCTGAAATTTCATGAGGATTTTTTAAGTTTTCTATTGAAATGACTTTGATTATAATTGATGTAAAAACCATCAGTTAGAACATGCACGTTACAAAACTCGTATTAAGTATTATATAAATAGTGGAAAAAGTTTAAATTTATTTTTTAGTAAAGTGAGAATTTGAAGTAAAATTACCGAAGTTTTATTTTGAACTATAATAATATCATTAACACTTTGCGTGTATAAACTGTAAAATGTCGTTTATCTAGTACAAGCTGAACCCTGGATACAGAACCCTATATTCAAGGTTCAAACTATTCTTAATACTAGACCCGAAACTATTTCCTAGGTTTAGTTTGCAACTTGTCCAAAGATACACAAACCAAGAAAACCTGTATCCTGGAATGAGGAGATTGTATCCTTTGTATCCTGGACAAAAGAAACCTGTATCCTATGTATCATAGACTAAAGAACCCTGAATCCTAGAATAAGGAATCAGTATCCGATGTATCCTTGACTCAAGGAACCTGTATCCTGGAACAAGGATACAGTATCCTATGTATCCTGGACAAAAGAAACCTGTTTCCTAGAATAAAATCAGTATCCTATGTATCATGGACTGAAGAAACCTGAATCCTAGAAATAGGAATGAGTTTCTCATGTATCCTTGATTAAAAAAGCCTGTATCCCGGATTAGAGAATCTGGTTCAAAGAACTGTAAGTGTACAGTGTATCTAGATATAGGACGCTTGTGAAATATTGAAATGAAGCTGTTCCCTAGGGAGAGAACCTTATCTTGAGAAACAGGAAAATAGCATTTCCCAAAGTATGATTAGGTTTCATACAAAATTGTACTTGTAAATAAATTGGAAAAATATATAGGGTAAAAAGTAGAATGGGTGCGTATATTTACAAATCTTTTTAAATATTATTCCACGGGTTAAAATCTACATCATAAAATCTTGTTTTTTTTGGCCAGATTGTAAGGAGGAGAAGGGGGGGGGGATAAAATTAGTTGGCAAACATTAGGTTCACAGAATGATTAAAATGTACCAACATTCTTCTTGGAAAACATTTTTCATAAACTATAATGTATCCTGTGTACAAAACAAATATGTATACTGTTTACAAAACATGTATTTTCTTCACAAAAGATTATATTTTGATAAATTTCAGTTTTGAATAATTTTAACATGCTCTGCCCTCAAAATTCTTCTGAAAGACGAAATTTTGAATCAATGTTTATCATCATGACAATAAGGATCGCATCTATAGTAAATGTACTTTTTTAATCCCAGAAGTACTCCTTGAACATTAACCTATTGACAATAAACCTGGAGTACTTTCTGAATATAAACTTGCAAGTACTCAGTGTACACCTGGAGTACTTCTAGATTATAAACCTTGTAAATTCCTAGAGTGTAAACCTCTAGTTCTCCCAGAGTGTACACCTGTACTACTAGAGAATAAACCGCGAGTACTCCTATAGTATAAACCTCGAGTACTCCTAGATTATAAATCTCGAGTACTCCTAGATTGTACATCTGGATTACTCCACAATTGTACATCTGTAGTACTCCATAATTGTACACCTGGAGAAATGTTAGTACTTTTCTGAAGTACCCTTCCATTCCATAAACCCCAGAATTCTCCAGGTATAGGTTATGTATGGATTTGGTTGTCTACTGAGTACTGACTAGAATCTTAATTTAGAGACACAGATATACATTTGATTTAACACTGGCTAAACACAGGGTTTCGGGGATATTGAAAAAAATGGCCAACATTTGAGTATTATAATTTAAATTGAACTTTCTTCTTTGTTTTTAGTTTTTCATATTTATTTATGCTTGCGTTTATTGAATTGTTTTTTCGTTTATGAAAGTATTAAAATCTCGCTTGAATTCTATAGATGTTTGTATTACTGGAAAGTTTCAAATTTTATGAATTTGTGATGGAAAGTGATGTAAAGCTCTTCCGTAAATAAGCTAAAAAGTTGTCCCTCGGTTATTTTTCCGACCCTGAGATCTGCTTTCATATAATTTTCTTGGCATCAGAACCCGCCAGATCTAGGACACATGCATTGACTCATTTAGATACGTTTGCATGAATCCGGGCACCATATCATTACTAGGCCAGCCAAGGGACGAATTGTCAACAAGCTTCCACAGAGAGGAGGGATCAACATTTGTCACCAAATCAATGAGTTTCAAGATTTCTTGTAAAGAATTTTTATCTCGAATATCTCCTATCTTATCCAGGTATCCAGGACTTACTTCACTTAAACTTATGTATATATATACATTGTACATACATTGTACGTAATAATGGCAAGCTTTATATAATGTCTTTAGATATTTTTAAACGTTGAACATCTAACATAACTTATATATATATACACAGTGAGATCACTCTAACCGGCTTAAGGGGGAGGAGGGGTACTGAGATTCCTAATGCCTGGGGTTATCTGGACCAAGGTTTATGATTTTCTAGCTCTCATCGAAAAGATCCTTGGTGTGTTAACCCAATGTAAAGCTTGCTCATAGCAAGATATTGATCAATGATCATGTCTTGTTGCCCCTGGTTAAGATTGGTTTATGTCAGGTTGCCCCTGGTCACATTTGGTTAAGTTCTGGTTCTGGGATCTCCTGGCTTTGGTTGGGGGAGGCCTTGTTGCCCCTGGCCACAGTTGATGGAGGCTTGGATACCCCTGGCCACAGTTGGTGGATGTTTTATAATCCTCGAAGGGAGGTTCAGAGTTCCTGCAATCCTGTTAGAGAGAAATGAGAGAAAGAGGGTTCGAACTTTCAGAGAAGGAGAGCAATTTTTTTACTTTGAAACTGAAACATTCTCAGTCCATGGAAGAAGGTAGTAGAGGAGGATACGTTAAGGAAGGGATAACGATAGCTGCTACTAAAAGGTAAAGATGGATTAAAGCTTGAGAGATAAGGAATAGTATAGGACTGCAGCTAGCTAACACTAGACAGGAGGAGGAGGAGAAGGGTTGAACTAGAGTTTGTTAAAACTGAAACAAGGTTTGGAACGGCCGAGATATCCATTAGTTTAATCCTGGTGATTGCAGGGAACTTTCTTCAATGACACATACAGGGTATCTCGCTGAAAAAAAGAATAAATTATACACAATTAGTTAGTAGGCAATACATTAAGCGAAATGCCCTGAATCAACTAAAAAGGGAAAATGCTAAATAAATGTATAAAGTATAGACTTAAAGTGAATGAACAAAAATGGATGAAAATAAGATTTAAGATAATTGCATCAATTCAATTTTATTGCATGGTACATTTAAAAAATCGAGTACTTTAAGAGAAGATACAAGTAATTCTAAAACATAAAAGGAAAAAATAATAAGACGTTAATTTCTTAAACGTAATGACGTTAAAGAATTTCTATTTGCATTTTTGTTTTACATACTATATTGATTTAGAAATTTTAGGTATTTTTGTCTGTTTGTTTGTATGTCTGATCATAACTCATGAACCCCTTGACGGATTTGTCTAAAGTTTTGATTTCCTGGAAAAGCTGGGTTCCCCAGCTAGTGAGTTATGGTGTATGTTTACCATTTATTTTTGTGGTGAATAGCCTGACAGTGTGTAATGGATTAGATATATTTAGAAAATCTGAAACTCCAGTATGTCAAGTTTCTTCTACTTAATGTAAAGTTAGAAGATAATAAAGATCTAAATATATTTTTCTTCCATGTCACGATGAGCTTGAATTGAATTTGTTTCACATGAAACAAGAAAAATTTTACTTAAATGTAGGTTTCTAAAAAGTGGTAAAATTTAAATATATAAACTTCTTTAGTTCTTCAGTTTTCGAACTATTTAAAAAGAATTTGTTAAAAGGAGAGAAGGAGGGAATCAAAGAGGCCGAATTTAAAGAGTTTGAGTCTCGGCTTAAATTTGAAACTCGGCTCAAATACTGTTGGTTCCACTTAAAATTGTATTTAATGTTTTAAGATTTGAGCCTGCGTTCAATTCAAACCGGTTTTTGGTAAATTTGAGACGCGGCTCAAATTCATTAAATTCGGACTTAGGAGTTCTAGGAGAAGGAAAATGAAAATTTCCGGAATCTCACCGCTACAATACCCTCCCTCCCTATCTTCTTTTTATCAATATATACTAGATTAAAGATTATCTAAAATCCATTTTTCAATCCTTTTCTATTCATTTGTAAATTTATCATTAGTATGTTTCATGTCGTCTTCATTTTTAGCTCGACTCTTTATCACCCATCTTTAGCTTCATTTCTGCCATTTTTACTTTTCCCACAAATGACGTTTAGTAATCTTGCTAGAAATCAAAGCTTTAAAAGGTCCAGTACCCTGCAATTTTTTGTTCAAAAGATGATTTGTACCTCACTTTATATTTCTGATTGAATATTTGACTTTCAAATTCTACTTCCCATTTTACTAGTTAAAAAAATCTTTCTGTTTAAATTTCTAATTTTTTACAATCTATACATCCACTCTTTTCCTTGGATCGACTTTATCTTGATTTTATTTAATCCTCTCTTAACTCAATCCCTTCACTCAATCTTAATCCTGTTCTATTCAACACTTTATCTGGAAACCAGCTCTTCCATTTCTTCTTTAATTTAGTACATTAAAACATTGAATAAATTATTTCTATCTGAAGTTTAACTGAACTATGTTAAGAAGGAATATGATTAAATTAAACCAATTTATATGTTTAAACCCCACCACCATATGTTTTAACTAAATCAAGATTATAGCGGTAATTTCCTGGCAAATACTTCCAACTCCCCTGCCCCCCTTTTCAAATGATTAACATTAATGATTCTATCTATCTGACCTAACCTAACCNCTAAACTAATACTAATTTTTACATGTATATAAGCGTATAAAGAGTTTTAGCAAAGTAAAAGAGTCAGAATAAGTATCAAGGGTTTAAACAAGGTGTTGAGACAAAGTCTGTGCGTTATAAAGTAAAATTCCGGTTTTATTTACAATAAATCTACAAATCCAAAACGAAGAAAATTATTCACTTCTTCCTGGCCTCTTTCCAGGTATCCGAGTTGAGAGAAAAATGTCAGAATTCTAGAACTATTGTGCAGTGGTCAAACCTGTCTTCCTTACCAATAACTTAAAACTCATTTTTCTACTTCTTCTAATAATCTTAACTAAATCACAATCACGAATAAAACCATTTCTTTCAGAGATCTCTTATAAAACATCTGTCCTAATAGTATTACTTTTTTGGACTATTTCTTTATCTTCCCAATCTGTCCAGACTCCCCAGATATTAATTAATTAGTTTACAACTTTTGCCAATAATTAAGACCCGAGTCTTCTCACCTCTCATCCATCTTAAGAATTTTTCACATCTGATCTTCTTCCTTGGATTGAAGAGGAATGTTTGAAGGTTGAAGAGGTTCCTGGCTTCCGTCTCCATCTAGAGAACTCTCAGGGAGCATCTTGTTCTTCTCATCATCTTAATAAAGAATATTTAGTATATTGTTTGGAAGTTACAAAACGTATAGAATTTTTCTTAAACTCCAATAGCTTAGATCATATCTGGATTATATCGTGATAATTTTTTATTTCTGTGCAACGACGAAAAAAGGAAAAAAGTACTTCAAACACTTTTACATGATCATTAACATGACACAAAAGTTCGTTTTACAATTTGTCTCCTTGCATAAAAAGAAGTGTTCAAGTTGAGATGAAACACAATAAGCACCCAGCTCACTTGCTGTGCAGTGAAAAATTCTTGTTTGAATTTAATCTGCAGCATATGGTAATCATATGTTTAAAATGTTTAACTGGATACTTAGAATAACAATAAACTTGAAAGTTCGAAATTCTGACTTGTGCATAAACTAACAAAATAAATACTGTCAATAACGTCTTGAACCGAAGTTCGTGGGGGGGGGGGTCGAATTAAAATGAGTTTAGATTACCTGAGTTTGCCTCGATATCCTCTCCACCCTTGGATAAACAGCAGGGGCAGAGTCGGCGGAACAGAATACAGAGTCCATGACGAGCATCTGCACAGAGCAAGAAGTACAGAATAGGGTGGAGCATCGCGGGGGCGTAGACGGCCCACTTCATCACTCCTATGTAGGATTCTCCAAGGACCAGGAATTCACTGATGGGGAGAAACTCTCCATACTTCCAGTTGGTGAGGGCGTGGAAGATGTTGAACAGCTCAAACGGTGCGCGGGAGGCCTCAAAGAAGAGAATGAGGAATAGCGTAATGATGGAGAGCCAAAGATCGTACCTCCTGAGTTTCCGGGTGCAGCAAGCAGCAGACTGGACCAGCAGGGCACACCATGGGATAAACAGGAGAACCACGGGAACCACAAAGGTCAGGAGGAAGGAAGAGAAGTAGAAGAACAGAGATCCGTATTCATACTCTCCTCCTCGGTGCATGCACACCACGGCACCTTCCGGCCTTCCTGCAATAACATTCCTGTAGGGATCCTCCTCCCAGGGGCGGAGCTCGGTGTAGAACACCGTGGGAACGGCGAACACGGCGGAGAGAAGCCAGATGAGAGGAATGTAGAGGGTGTGAGACCAAGGTCGGATAACGTCTTCAGAAAAGTTCCACTTGCAGTTTTCAGCAAACAGGTGGAAGGAGAGGAAGAGCGCGGTTAGCGGGAGGAAAAACAGGAAACAGTAGTAGAAATATCTAAAACAGGAAACAGTAGTAGAAATATCTAAAACAGGAAACAGTAGTAGAAATATCTAAAACAAAAAAGGTAAAATCTGAGTGAATAGTGCTTTTGACCCCGCCTCTCCTAATTTTGTTTGCTAACCTCGCGTATCTATCTGTATTAACCTAACCTGACCTGGAATTGTTAAATCGCACGAGGTTGCCAAATAATGTTATGAGTGGCGGGGGCCAGCAGAAATAGGAAAGGCAGAAGGCAGATACTTTTTATTTATTTGCTTCAATTCAGAAAATAAATAGATTAATCTTAAAAGAAGTAAAAAGTGTTAAACTGGCAATTTAAGAGAAGAAGGATCAGGAAAGTAGATTTTTCATTTTTTGAAGTGTTTAAAGAAACCTAGAGATTGAAATATTGGAGAGAATTGGATTAGGTGGGAGAGAATTCGATTTGTTTGGAGAGAATTCGTGTTAGTTTGGAGAGAATTGAATTATTTTCGGGAGAATTGGATTAGTTAGAAGGGACTTGGATTAGTTTTGGGAAAATTAGGTTAGTTTAGAGAAAATTGGATTAGGTTGGAAAGAATTGAATTTGTTTGGAGAGAATTGGATTAGTTTGGAAAAAATTGGATTAGTTTGGAGAGAATTGGATTAGTTTGGAGAGAATTGGATTAGTTTAAAGAGAATTGGATTAGTTTGGAAAAAATTGGATTAGTTTGGAGAGAATTGGATTAGTTTGGAAAGCATTGGATTAGTTTGGAAAGAATTGGATTAGTTTAAGAAGAATTAGATTAGTTTGGAGAGAATTGAATTAGTTTGGAGAGAAATGGATTAGTTTAGAGAGTATTTGATTAGTTTGGAGAGAATTGGATTAGTTTAGAGAAAATTGGATTATGTTGGAGAAAATTGGATTATGTTGGAAAGAATTGAATTAGTTTGGAGATAGTTGGATTAGTTTGGAAAGAATTGGATTGGTTTGGAAAAAATTGGATTAGTTTAGAGAGAATTGGATTAGTTTAGAGAAAATTGGATTAGGTTAGAGAAAATTGGATTATGTTGGAAAGATTTGAATTAGTTTGGAGATAGTTGGATTAGTTTGGAAAGAATTGGATTAGTTTGGAAAAAATCGGATTAGTTTGGAAATAATTGGATTAGTTTGGAGAGAATTGGATTAGTTTGGAGAGAATTGGATTAGTTTGGAAAAAATTGGATTAGTTTGGAGAGAATTGAATTAGTTTGGAGAGAAATGGATTAGTTTAGTCAGTATTGGATAAGTTTGGAGAGAATTGGATTAGTTTAGAGAAAATTGGATTAGGTTGGAGAAAATTGGATTATGTTGGAAAGAATTGAATTAGTTTGGAAAGAATTGGATTAGGTGGGAGAATTGAATTAGTTGAGAGTGAATTAGATAAGGAAGGAAGTGAACAAAAATAAATTTTTTCTCCGAATTTTATTCTATTTGAATATCTGAAAGATAAGAGATGAAGGAAACAGGATTTGAAAAGAAAAGTGAACTCTTTTCCATGATAAAGGCGGAGAAATGAAAACTCAAATCTAAACTGTCTGCAAAATATTTTCATTTTTTCTTTTTATGCAAAATATGCAACGATTCATTCTGTTTTTGTTGCGGAGAGTAATTTATCAATTAGAGCATAAATAGAAAATGTCAGGCAGCTCATGTTCACAGGCTTTCTTGCTTTTAATCAGAATCATTTTACTTAAATTCATCGGAGATGCTCTGAAATTTCCGCCTTTTAAATCCAAAAATCTCGCAAAGAAATTGAGTTTTTGACAAAAACTCAGATTTTCTTATCTATATCTTTAATCTATATCTCTGGTACCCAATGTCCTTATAGACACTAGATTTATAATTAATCCAAGTTTGAAATATGAAAGGTTTTCACCATCAGGTTGCAAAGATACAAGAGTTAAAAAATTTGTGTTTAAGGCAAAGACTCAATTCCCTTGACACTCTCCCCCTTCCAACCCCTCCGTTAACGTCATATCGAGAAACAGTTTACAGTTTAGTAAAATGAATGGTCCAGATAATTAATAGATAATTAATCTTAATCAGTTAATAAATTGTTGTTGATTAAAAAGGTTAATTTGCAGACGAGTCAACTCATCAATCATACCTCACAACCTCACAGAAAATGTCCCCTTCCCCTAATTTTGACAAACTATTATTGATCTTTTTAACATTACTTATATTTTTTATTCAATTGTACAAGCTAACTAATTTATCATTTAGCAACAATATTTGGGAGTTATTTTGGCCCAGCGGTGTTAAATATCTGTGAAATATTTGGGAGTTATTTTGGCCAAGCGGTGTTAAATATCTGTGAAATATTTAGTAGTTATTTTGGCCCAGCGGTAATTACTCGCCGCAAACTCTAATTTTCTTATCCTGAAATCGTTGCAACCTGATGATCAGGTTATTTTACCTGAAGCAGATACAGTACTCAAGGCCGAGGTTCCAGGTTAGATGAATGATCTCTGAGTCGAGGGTGAAGGGTATACACAACCCTGCCACCAGGATATCCCGTACACTCAGGTTCAATAGTAGATAGTGACCGGTATTCCTGCTCCGTCTAAATATTTTAACATTTTTATCATTTTTAAATCTCTCCGGATATTTTTACTTTGCATGAACCATTTATATTTAGTTATTTATGTTTTCAGGTTTGTTCGTTTTTTATTATTTTCTTTTCTAAATCAGAATTGAACTATGTTTAAAGTTTCTTAAGTTCAAATATTTAAATGAATTTGTTTATATTACAACTGTTGAAAGTGAAGACTGTTTACGGATAAGTTTGGGGCTCCAGAGAGATCAGGTTCTATCCCCGAGGAACTCAGGGTATAAAAACCATTACTCTATCCTTATACACTAATCTGATGCTTTCAACCTCCCCCAGCCATCTACTCTATATTCTATATACTAGATTATAAAGTATTTCTGGTATTTATGTTATAGATTAGTCCTGTAACATACATCTATTCTATATATCAGGAAAAAATAGTTATATGCTAGTCTAGATATAATAAGAAAAGTATAAAATTGGGGTTCTGATATCTACAGATGTATGATCAGCTAAAAAGAAGATACAAGTCAGAGAAAAAATTCACTATCCTTTCCAAAATTTTGTTAAAAAATTTTAATTTAAGAATAAGTTGTAAATAAAAAATTTGTTTTTAGATAGATACACAGTTTAATAAAGATAATAATTTTTTACATATTTAAATACTTTAACCTTTCATTTCATTAGGTTCAAGTTTATTGGGCTCATCATTTTATTTTTTAAGACAAGTTTGAGACAAGCATAGCGCAGCCTTACACATTAAAATTAACTTCGAAAAATTTGGAAGATATGAAACATAGTGGGGCCAACTGTGAAACATGTAGACGACTGTTTGACTGAAGTTTTTATTCTAAATAGTCCAATAAACACAAAACACAGCAATTGTGCAGTGTACACAGACCCATTTAACTGAAAAACTTAATTTTCTATTATTATTATTATAACTATTACTTCCAAACAACATCACATTACACATCAAGATTCCTAAAAGGAATTGAGTTTCTGCCACAAACTCTGATTTTCTAATTTCTATATTTTTGCAACTTGATGCTGTAGACCTCTGATATTAGATTAGATTAAATTGTCTGAGTTTAAAATATAAAAGGTTTACTCCATCAAGTTGCAAAGATAGAGGGATTAGAAAATTTGAGCTTGTGGCAAAACTCAATTCATTTGATCTTCTTATTCCAGACAGCTATATGGGTCCCACTATACATATATATAAAGTAGATTTTATGAGCTGAGTACTCACCTAGTGCACAGGGATGAAATGATAAAGAGAAGGTTGCCGAGAACTGCAATCACAATGGTGACAACATACAGAGTTATCCAACCCCACTTATTCTCATCTCCCAGTATATATCCATCACTTGTTCCGATCTAATAAAGAAAAAATTATTTTAAAGCTAAAAGATATTGAGTCTTTTCCATAAACTCGAATTTTCTTATATTTTTATATTTTTCATCCTGAAGTTGTAAACCTTAGATTTGTCAAAAGAATTGAGTTTTGGCCTGAAAAATTGAAATAGCAAAAATGTACACCATGAGGTTGCTAAGATATAGGGATAAGAAAATTCAAACTTCTTTGTGGCAAAAACTCAATTTCTTTAGATGATTTGATCTAACAGAATTCATAGTTTCAAATATCTAAAGTTTTTGACGTTGGTTTGCAAAGATATAGGGATTAGAAAATCACATTTTGTGGCAAAGACTCAATTTCTCTAAAAGTTTAATTCTGTAAACATTAAAAAATATCCTAATCCCATTATATCCGGAGCTTGTCGGAATTGATTAGTTTTACAATAATTTCTCCAGGTAAGAACATCTATTATTCAAACCTAACATACTTCTTTTTCATTATATTATACAATATTTCACAGGGAATAAATGTTTATAAGGAGAATAGTATTTAATGTTTGTAAAGAGAATAATATTTAACTTTCAAATTAAAACATGTTATAATTTTTAAACAAAAAATTTAAAACAAGAAGATTTTTAAAACTTGAAAGCTAAGGAGCATGATTGAATATTGTGAAGGGAGTGTTCGCGAAAAGTAAAAGGGGGTTTAGGCTTACTGTGAAAAAAGTGTTTTTAATTGCTACTAATCTTACTTCTATCTGTTTCGTCTATAAGGAGAAAATTGTTAAAAACGACTCATACCGAAGAACGCAACGTCCATACAAATTCAGGAAGTTGCAACATTCAACTCGGATCGTAAAAATTAATTTAATTCCAAACAAATCATTCAGATATTACAAACAATAGTCATTGGACGCATTCGTATATAGTTAATATTTCATAATAGTTTTGATTCTGTTTTTTAAATAATATTTCGCTAGCGCTGGTTTTTCGAACATTCCTGGAAAATATGAAAATGTCTTCTTCATTATTTAAAATCCTCGAAACAGGAATAAATGCTTTCAAAAGTAAATATCAGATTATAAAAAATAAAAAATAAATAGTATGAAATATCAATTATATACGAATGCGTCGAAAAATTATCGATGATTATTGGTTTTAATATATGAATGTTTTGTTTGGAATTAAATAGATTTTTTACGATCCGAGTTAAATATTGCAACTTTCTGAATTTGTATGGACGCTACATTCTTCAGCATGAGTCGTTTTTAACAATTTTCTCCTTATAGATAGAAGTAAGATTAGTAGCAATCAAAAGTGCTTATTTTTCGCCATTAGCCTATACCCCCTTTAATTTTTCGCAAACACTCTCTTTAAAGCTTTGAAGTTATAATAATTTTGAATCAGCTAGGTCTATGAAATGTGAATTTTAAAATGTCAGAGAATTCTTCATAATACATTTTTTATCTATAGAGTAAAGTGACTCAGTCATGCAAGAAATCATTTTGAAAATATTTAGCTAAGTACAATTAAGTAAATTTCTTTATATTTCAACAGTTTAGAGCTGGTAAAAATCCCATGTAAAGACATCTGCGAAATATGGTAAAATATTGAAATTTTTTAATCTAAATAAATGTGAAAGGTTTTAAATTTCCTTCTGGATGGAAATGTGTTGAAATATTTATGTTTAATTTAATTTAAATACATTCAATTAAAACCACCCCTTTTCCCGTAACTTTAATGTTCAGTACTTGAATAAAGGTTTCTAAGTTGCCACTTTATTGCAGTACACTTCATAGCAGTACACTTTGAGCCAAGTGGGTTATTTGGAACGCACCTAACAATTTTCAACCTGAAGCTAGAACTTTCGTATTGTGAACCTCGGGATCAACCATTGATCTCCATACTATGCCGATCTACGGATTAATTTAATTTCTTTTAGATTTCCCATGGCGAGCATACCCCGGAGGAATAACTTTAATTGAGGGATCAAGCATTTATCCTCAAATTTAAAAGTGAATACATTGGATATCGGGATCAAGTATTTAAAGATTAACGTCACTCTAGACAGATTAGAATAAAATTCAACTTACGATGCTGACACTTGAATCTGTAGCTGAGTCTACGAAATCTGTCTTCATGGAGCTATTTTCGATTATTTTCTGAAAATCCATATCCAGGCTTGCAGGAACTGCAGAGCTCAGAGATGAGTCCTAATTCAATCAATCCATCAATTAATATGTTAATAAATGTTTGGATTATTGCTCTGCTAAGCTCTAATAATAAGACTAAATATTAAGATTAGGGAGACGAGAAGGGAGGGGGGGGGGGGTATACAGGGGTTACACAAAATAATGCGCATTTATAATAATTAGATTTGTATCAAAGTTTACCTCGTAATCGTATTCTGTCTGGTCCATTTCTTCAGGATTCGACATTTTGGAACTTTGAAATCTTCACGTCACGTCACCTTAAAATATGTTTTCATTAATTTAATACAGAAAATATCTTAATAGTTTAGTATTTCATAAAAGTATAAAATATAGTACAGTTTACATTATATAACTTTATAATTCGACAAGGATTGCCAATTTCTATACTTTTCCACCAGTGCAATGATAATCCAGTACTGTATGTATATTATATATAGCGGGACAGTGTAAACAGTGAATTATTTTAAAGTTAGATACATCAAAGAACCGACGGAAACTTGTTGACTTATTGATAAAATATGTTCACTAAACTGTCAATGTATATATATACATATTTTATAATTACATCCATACTTTTTTAGTTTTAATGTAATTCAATCATGTATAATGAATGTAAGAACTCAGTGTTTATATTTTTTCCTCTCATTTGTTCCTTAATTCAAATAAACAAGCGCACCGTCTCAACTATATACAACGTGTAGATCTTGTAATTAGTGCAATATGTAGGAGTAAAAATAAGTAAAATTGAGTGTAAAGAAAGAAGAATAATGATTTAAACCACATCGTGATTTAACGACATTTTACAAATTCCAACGTCTATTTCGCTCTCCACATATATATTTAGTACACTTAACTCACAGTCAACGGGAGTTATTTTGGCCCAGCGGTGTTAAATATCTGTGAAATATTTGGGAGTTATTTTGGCCCAGCGGTGTTAACTATCTGTGAAATATTTGGGAGTTATTTTGGCCCAGCGGTGTTAAAAAATTTGAATTTCCCGGGAAAATCTGAACCAATCAGAGAAAAGGATTTACGGAGAATATTACATAACCATCGCTAATCAGCTGTTATTACGTAACTGAAAACAAAACATACAACCGTTTTTTGGGTTTACATCCAGAAATTAATTTATCTAAAACGTGAAATTTCTTTAACAAGGTTTTCATTTTTAAATAAATCGTAAAATTGAATGCCGCTTCCTCAACTGCAACTGAATGATGATTGAATAATAGACAAATAGGGAAAATGCAGGATTTCTAGATAATTTAAACCTGTGTTTAAATTTTAACTCGTCGATTTCGGCGAGTTAAATATTTAACCACAGGGTTAAATATTTAACCTCACGGTTAAAGTTCAGGTTTAAATTAAGTCAGAAGTGGCATTTAACCATGAACTTAAAATTTAAGTCAAAACTTTTCGTTCTTTAGTTTTGGACTCTGTTTAAAAGAAGAAAAAGGTTTAAATCTATTTTTTAAAGTTAAAAAAAAAAAACTCTACTTACTCCCTTTAAATATTATCAAAATCTGAACATTGAAAGGTATATTTATTATTATAAAGTAGAACTTTCCTTTAAAAAAAATTATTTAGAAATATGCAATTTTTTAAATGGCCGCAAATGGGATAAAAAATATACCTGCTAAAGATATGAATTTGTAAAGAAAGGGGAACATTGTAAGACGAGGGGGCCGCGTCGGGGAGAAATTTATAGATTAATCTTCTGCGTAATATGAAGTAAATACAATATATATGATACTCAATATATGTAATAATATTTTTAAGTATACGCATTTAATATAATATAAAAAGAACGTTACTGCATACTTGATTTAAGGATAATACACCGACAATAAAAAAACAGGCAAATGAAAATGTTAAGAGAAATTGGCAAACACATGTAATTAACGATACAATGTTTTTTTTGCTTTTTACTTTTCCGGTTCCATAGTAATTACTTTAACACAAAAAAAACAAGATGTAAGAATTCTTCAAAGAACGTTACTTTTCATTTCTAACAGTTTATTACTTTGTTGGAACAATGGAATTGATTACTCGTCTCCAACTCAAATTTCTTAATCTTTTAATCTTTGTAACCTGGTATGGTAGACATTGATATACCAAACAATTAGTTCTGCTAGGATTATAATTGAAGCTTAACCATCTGATTAAAAAGCTCACGTGATTACAAAAATTTTTTTTTTCAATTCTGAAGTTATGATGATATTAACATATATCTATAAATAAACTTGAGGAAAGATTGTTTATATAAAAGAAATATTTATCTAAAGAAAATGATAATAAACGATATATTATTCTAATTGATCCATCTGTATGGCTCTAAGATTGATCTTGTCAAAAAAAAATTTCATGTGAGAATGAATATGTATATTGTATATAGTATATAGTGTATAATGTATAATGTGTAAATACTATGAACCACGTTAGTATCAATTAAACTTCTATAATATTCCCCCGGTATAGTCAGTAGTCACATATCGGTATGCTAAATCCCCATAAGCAACTTCCCCCCCCCCCTCTATCATTTCCCCAGTCTGTCCTACACAGAAATGAATATGACCCCCTTCCTTTCTAAACTAACAGTTTACTTTTAATGTTAACTATACATTCACTGGTCTCCGTCCCAACAGTTAATTTAAAACATTAATTTACAAGTTTCAATTCTTTAATATTTAAGATTGGTTAACTTAATTTAACCACATAATTTAAGCAAAACCCCACAAAATGCGAGCCTACGAATGATTTTAGGTACTTTTGCAGTATTTTTTTAGAAAGATGCTATCAATAGACATTGATTTATTTCTATATAGATTTTTTGTCATCGTCTTAAATACTTTTTAATTGATCAAATAATTTTAAGGAAGTATACAAATGTTAACAGCATGATCTATTTACATAAAGCTTTAATTTCATGTTTGTCCGCTATTTTGAGTTTACTTTTTCATGAGGGGACACACATTAAATATATATTGCTTTGGGAAAAATGTGTTTGAACTCTAAACTTTACGAGGAAACAAAGTTAAGAATGACCAGATAATCCTTTAGTTGTTATACGGACACTTCGCTTATAATCAATAGTTTAACCAAACCAAACAATTACAATATACAATACACATTACACAGGAATAATATATCTTTAAATTACAATATACAATACACACTACACAGGAATAGTATATCTTTAAAAATAGAAAGTTTGCCCTTTCCTTTACAAAAAGAAATAAAGTCTATGCTACAAACTAAGATTTTCTGATCCCTATATACCTAAGTTGAAATATCAAAGGTTTACATCATAAGATATATGGATTAGAAAACCAGGGTTTGTGGCTAAGACTCAATTCCCTTTTTCAATAAAATGATAATTTTTACCAACATTTAATCTCTTGTCTGTATATTAACTCCCGGAAGTATGACAAAAACCGAGATTAAAAGTGACAAGTATAAATCGATGAAATATCTTAAAACCCGGGATTTCTGTTCTTTTCTCAACCCAGCGCCCCGATATAAAGTCTAGAAAAAGATGATTATCCATTAAAATAATATTTATTTGTTTCTGCTTGGTTGGCTTTTATTTCAGACATAACAATAATAATAATAATCATCATTCATGGTTTTAAAAGGAGTGGTTGGGGTTTATGAAAACGGAATTAAAAAGTTTAACCACGACCTAATAATTTAAAAAGTACTTTAATAATTTTTTAATGGTTTTAGTGAAACGTCATAGTTTTTTCTCGCATTTTCTTACTTTTCCCGAAAACTAAATATTAAACTGACCGAATTAAAAAATTCCTGGTCAACACTTATTTTAAATCATGATAAGTCCTGACCTAAACTCACTCTTCAAAACTTACTGATTTAGTCCTCTTATTTTTTTCTTTACGTTTTCACTTAAAATTATAATTTTCCCTTACTATATCTGCTAACAGTCCGCAAGTACACATATATATAAAATCTAATCTTTTATTAGAATTAATTTCACTAACTGCATGATACAGGTTGATTAAACTTAAATTTTATCAGATTAATATAAAACCTGGAACTAACTAATTGCTTTAATATGCCTGGTTACAACGGTAGAAAGCAACCAAAGTTACGAACAAGAAAAGCGTATATTTTCTTCCTTGTAACCGTTGGCGTTTATTTTCAAAACTGATGGCGATGAGAACATATATAGGATTTAAAGATATCAGAAAGGGTTAAGTGTATCCTGAAGATTATTTAGCAGGAAGGGTTGTATCCTAGTGAATATTATCAGTAAGGGTTGTATACTTAAGAATATGTTAGGAATGGTTCAGTTCAGTGTATCCCAGAGTAGGTTTAGTTAATTCCTAAGAAGGTTTAGTGCATTCTAGAGAAGGTTTAGTGTAGCCTAGAGGACGTTTAGTATATCCCAGAGAAGGTTTAGTTTATCCCTGAAAAAAATTAGTGTATCCTAGAGGATGTTTAGTGTATTCCAGAGAAGGTTAAGTTTATCCCGGAGAAAGTTTAGTTTATCCCAGAGAAGGTTTAGTTTATCCCAGAGAAAGTTTAGTATATCCTAGAGGATGTTTAGTGTATCCCAGAGAAGGTTGAGTGTAAACTTTTCATGATAAAAACGGAGGACGGATTCTATCGGAGAGAGAGAAAGACAAGAAACCCTCAAGCAGAGAATTCAAATTCATTTAAAATTCTCTTTACTGCCGTACTTCCAAACGTTTTGAAGAAAACCGTCCAAATGCAAGCATAGACGAATTCTTACTGTAGACAATCCTAGATTTAGATGGTAATAACTGGTAAAATAAATGGATCCATGCTTTTTGTTTTGTAAACATATTACATATATACATAGATAATGATTGGATTAAGAGTGCAGATAATAAATGATCCTGTTATAATATCATTATTCATAGTTAGATAATAGATTTATACTGGCACTGAGCAATAGACTATCCTATCAGTAGAAAACTCACTGTGAGGTTTAAGATTCGGATCACGATACTTGAATAGATACAAGGAAAAGGAGGAATACAAACCTGGGACGTATAAAACGAGAACATCAACTAATTTATAATCTAGAATCTTAATTCAAATGATAGTTTTGAACCTCAACCTCACTTTTTAATCATAGAAATAAAACCTCTTCATAAATCTTAGATTCTAATTTAAAACCTTCTCCATAAATCCTTGATTTTAAACTAAAACCACTTTCATAAATCCTAAATTCTAATCTAAAACCTCCTTCATAAATCCTAGATTCTAATCT